AGGAACCTGTTATTTGACTTGCAAAATTGGGGGGGAAACTACAAACTGCACTATTTGTTAGACTCTTCAACGCTTTTTTTCCTTAGTGAAGGGTAGGGCCTTTGAGTCAGTTTTTGTGGGTTGGGGAAGGAAGCTAGCGTTGAAGAATTGTGGGTCTTAACTTCTACAAATGCGAATTTATACTTTTCATGCAGTAACTTCTCCTTCCTCTGGATGTTTTGAGGATGGGATTTTCTGAAGTTAGTATTTTATAACTAGGCTGCTTGGAACATGAGCGTATTTGAAGATTAATGCAGCTACTAGAGCAACAGGCCTGTAGCTCTGGGTGTGGTAGACGAAAAGCAGGCTGCCGCCATAGCAACAGCCACAGTCAATGTTTTACCTGTTAATAATTTATGATGTTGTTAATCACCAGTGATTCTGGACTACAAAACAAGGTTATTCTGGTTGGAATTTGTCAACATTGCATTGAAATACAGTCGTGTTTTCTGCAGTCAAAAAAAGCAGAAGTATGATGCCAGCAGCTGTAATGGGAAAATGTTTTCAGACCAGCAGTCTCCTATAAAAATAGACACCGCTCTTTATAAAAATATCAGGCAGATAAAGACCATGATTTATTAAATCTCACGGTGAGATTGTTGACTGTCAGCGGGGACATGAACCTCAATGTGAAGATCTTTTTGTGTTTAACTAGAGTATGGTTCTGAGGTTGGGTTTTTGTTTTGGTTTTTTTGTTGTTTTGGTTTTTTTGCAGTAGTAATCTGGGGAGAGAACTGCAGTATAAAAATTAATGGTGCTGTAATTAGTGGTGGAAGAGTGGACTGTAGTATAAGACCTACAGGAAGCAGAGAATCCGTTTACTCTGCTTTCTGATGACTTCTAAAATACAAATGTAGACTCATTTCCTGAACCTTCGGATAACTCAGTAGTCCACCATTGTCACTGTTATCTTTTTAAATATAACCTGCATTCCTTGGGTCTAAAATGTCAGGGCTTTAGATACATCTTTCCTTTTGCTCTTTTAATAGAGGGAACTTCGAAGTGAACTAAAACGGTTTCCTTGGTTTCTTTTGACTATTTTTACAGAATAAAAATCTAATTTCAACTCTAGATGCACCACTTTTTGCTAAGTGTTGCAGCATCACACCTAACATGCCTCCATCATAACACATGCAGAAGAGGGCTGGTTTAAAGGCTGCAAGGAAGGCATAGTGCAATTAACAGTCAAATGATACAAGCTTCTGTTTAAGTTGTCACTAGCAGATGTGGATTAACTACTAGTTTTTGTTTATTTTTTTTAAGATTATGCTTAAGAAAGGAAACCACTTTTAAAAATGTAGTTATAAAGCTGTAAAATTTATCCCTTTTTTTCTTACTGGTTCAGCTCTGCCAGGGGTAACAGTTACAGATGATCCTAATCAGTATTTCTAAATGCAGCTTTATATGACTTAAGTTATTTTTGCTCAAGAAAATTTTAACAGCGTTTCTGTGCCAATATTGCCATAGTTTGTACTACTGTAACTTCTTGTAGGAATACTCTTGTTTAGAGTGGGGTTTTTTATTGCTCTTTGACAAGGTCACTCTTGCTCTGAGTGTCCATGAGAGGAGTTATAAAATAGTATAGTAATATAATTATACAGTAAAACTTCCCTCTATCCATGAGTCTTGAGCATAATTGTTGTTATTGCAATCTCATCAGTCCTGCCTCTCTTTTGCACACATTTCCAGCTGGGAAGCTTATAAATTAACTGCTGCTTCTTTTGTTGTAAAACAATCTTCCCTTTCTGCTTCCTGGCTCTGGTCACAGCAGGCAACTGAGAATGTCTTGACGATAACAGGGGAGTGGATTTGTGAGGTTACATTCTTTGATTTGGGGGGGGGGGGGAAAGTCTGAAGTGTGCTGGAAAAGTAGCAGCAATAAACATTCCTGGTTTAAGTGCACTCAGTGAATTGTTAAGTGTGCAAGGAGAAAATAATGCAACTTTTAAAAGCATTAGGGAAACTTAATTCAAGCTGGGAGTTTAGGGGAGCCTAAATTCTTTCCATCGTGGTACAAATGTTTGTGTTTTCAGTTTCTGGTTTCCTCTCCTTGCCCCCCACACTGGGCAGATAAGTGGCTCATTTTGCCATTTCTATAGGTAGATTATGTGGGTTTACAGTATGAGCAGTGCATCTCCATAGACCAACTGATTGTCATTAAAGTTACCTGATTTCTCTCTTAAAAAGCATATTTGAATTAAAATGGATATTTGAAAGTACCTTAGGGAATCAGTCAACATCTCAACCCATCTTCCTTTAAAAAATTATAAAAGCTCAGTGTAGCAATAGTTATTTGATGTACAGCTGAATTTTTTAGGTTCTCATGCAAATCACATTTACCTTAAATGCAATTTTTAAAGTTAATGGCAACATGCATATTTTCACGCTTTTCTGAATTTAATTTTTTTTTTTTCTTTTCAATTACTGTGGTTCATATTCTCTAACTTTCACAGGGTGTGCTATATCTGAAGAGTATCATAGTTTAGTTGGCCTCTTGTAATCCTAGCATCTTGGTAGTAAATACAGTACTTGCCTATGTGGAAAAAAACTTGTTAGGAAGACTTCTTAAGATCTTTTCTAGCATTACTGATGGGCTGGGAGCAAGGTGACAGCACCAGGTGATCAGTGAACTCTACAGACCTCATGCATACTTTGCAGGTGACAAGTGGCGTAAAGACAACAGTTTGGGAGCCTGCCCTACTTTTATCTTGTCCAGTACATTCAAGTATTGCTGTTATCTTTAAGCCTTGGTACCAAGTGAGCTAACAAGAAATTCAGGACCCAAGCAGCTGTAAAATTATGTTGAATGACTTCAGAGCTCCTTGTGACCTACTTTTTTAACTAGCTCATTGATGCAGTGAGTAGGGAGCTTTTGTTCTTTAAACTGATAATGTTACCCCAATTGTCACTAGATAGCACAGGGTAAGAGATAGTGTTTCTAGTAATCCGAGAGTGTGACAAAGCAGAGGGTATGGTTTCATCAAGGTTTCTGAAAACAGGACAAACTTCCCATTTGGTTCTCTCTTTCTTTAGTCTCTGCCTCAGGTTCTGAGTTATTCGAGGAAGTCTCTGTTGAGTGAAATTTCAGGTGTAGGGCAAGTAAAAAATGGAACTGCAGCTAAAGAAATGTCCTTTTTATATTAGCCAGTTTTTCACCACGGGTTTTCAAGCCGTTGGCATAATTTTTAAGGATTTGTAGTGTTGTAACTCTTCTTATGTTGCAGTTGTAGCATTAATAAAACTAAAGCTACCAAAGCCCATTTAACTTTATGTTTAAAACATTTAATTATTTTTTAAACTTACATGCACTAGTATGGGTATAGAAGAGGCTGACAGCTGGAGGCTATCTGAAGTTTTGTTTGGGTTTTTTCCCCTTCAGAATACACTCTTAATTTCAAATGCTGCTCGAGTAATGTGGACCTTGAGCAGAAATAATATATTGAATGGCTTTACCTTCCCTATCATAACCCAGGGAATTGTGTTACATCAAATGAATACTTAACATTATTCATTGCCACCTGTTTTGGTGACCCTCGATGGGCAAGAATTACCAGGCTTTTCTCATTCCCTCTGTGTAGTTAGTACAAGTGGAGAACGTGGCATTATTGAAAGCTTCCTCTAAATTTGTCAGTAATGCCATTCTGATTAGAAATTGTTTCTCTTAAAGCAACTTGCATGAAGCTGTGTCCAACTTGTTGTTTAGTTTGTTTCTTTTTAAAGCCACTGAAGGAAGTCTGGATCCTTCCTATGTAATATATGTTTATATTTATAATGATATTATCTCTATGTATTATCTGTTTAGATCAATAGATCTATGCAGTTTGTTTATTTTAAATCTTAGCATTGAGTTCATCAGTGCAAATTGTGTTATCTTTTAAATGGGTTGTTCCACACTCAGTCCTGTTAATTTTGATGTGATTACATTTATGGTGTATGGTACCATGTAGATTGAATAGGAGACCACTCTCCACTCGATTCTTTTAAGAAATATCTGTATTTAAGAATAGTCTTGTCCGAGTTCACTGTTCTTAGACCTAAACACCGATAGTGTACAACTCTCCATTGCACTTATTTTATTTTAGGTGCTATTTGGCATTTTTATTTTACCCTTGCACCTAAGGTACATATTCATAGGCTGAAAATAAGATGTCAGGTAAGTGGCCACAGTATCTTATGCTGAAGGTGTACCCTCTTGCTAGAGTATGTGGCAGGACTTTTACTTTAATAAAATAATGTGGAAATTTCCTTAAGGTTATAGCATGGGAATATCAAATGACTGGAAAAACTATACTTTATTTAGCTTTTTCAGTTCCTAATCTATCTATCCTACATCTCCTTGTCACTGGAAAAACATGCATCACATCTTGTTTAACGGTGCCTCACAGTCCTTTTGTGTATTACTTGATACCATACAGTGATATTGAATATTATGGTCCTAATCGGCTTAATAAGCAAGGCATAAACTACCAATAACATTTAGAGTTTTTTGGCATGTTCTTTATAACCTAAGACAAAATCATAATCTACTTCTCTATTAATGGATGCAGGGAAGGGTGGGTTATTTTGATGCTGTTACCAATATGACTACAGTGTTGCTTTGTTCCTTAAACTAAGATGGGTTGAAAAATTTGCCTCCTCATCAGTGTCCACAAATCTAGGTTTGGTGCGTACTTCAGCAGGTATAGCTACACAGTTGAGCAGTGTTTCTCCTTAGGTCTTCATAGTTGGCTCAAACAGGGCAGTATAAAGGTCTACATATTGGACTGACTGATTGTGGCACACCATTTTGTTTTAACACTTCATATGAGCACAGGAATAATAGAGCTGCTCTTAGGTTTTTAACCTTTTACCTTTCTGCTCAGTTTGCCTACCAACCTAATATCTGAATTGTGCTTCATTTCTCAAAATACCTGAACAGTAAAATACTGTCAACTTACCCTTTTTTCTTTTTTCTTTTGTAGCGGGGATCTGACGAGCTCTTCTCTACTTGTGTTACTAACGGACCCTTTATCATGAGCAGCAACTCTGCTTCTGCAGGTAAAATCACTTTTTTTTGTTTTTAAGGTAGCAATCTACCTTGAGTACTGAGGGTACAGTTAGCAGGGCTGCTTTATTTGACTTGCTCTTGGCTCGTAGTCTCTGCTTTCGTTTCAGTGCTTGTTTTGACCAGATTTTAAGACGATGCTAAATATGAGAAGCTGCTACCCTATGTCCTTGAGGGCTAGCAGCATGAATATGATTGGTATCGCAGGGCAGTTGCTAAGATGTTCCTGCGAGGGATTAGACCCCACAGTTTTTGCTAGAAACCTTTGCACTCTAAACAAATGGAGTCTCACAATGAAATATGGAGCCATATGCTTGCTGTTTGCTACTACCCTTTTAAGACATCACCTCAAAAGCAACTTCACCATTGAATATGGTGCTCAAAGTGAAAAATAACAAAAGTGACTTAAACTCTACAGAGCACAAATAAATCTTTGTTTATACCAGTCTTTAAAACAATAAATTGTGATTCCAGAGCTTAGGCATTCAGCTGTGTCACTCAGATCCTGGATATAGCTTTGAAAAATGGGCAAAATGATGTATTTGTAAATTTGGTTACCTTTGACTCTAGAATTTAAATTACCCAGTAAATGGAAGCTAAGTGAGGAAGGCAAGATGAATGCAAAGTGGTTTTAAAAAATGCTGTGATGCTGTTGTTAAAATGTGTTATTCACTCTTTCAGCTAATGGAAATGACAGCAAAAAATTCAAAGGTGACAGTAGAAGTGCTGGGGTCCCATCACGAGTAATCCATGTCCGCAAACTCCCCAGTGACGTCACAGAGGCAGAAGTCATTTCTCTGGGCTTACCTTTTGGCAAAGTCACCAATCTTCTCATGTTGAAAGGAAAAAATCAGGTACTGTCCCAGCAACTGAATACTGGGGTTATATGGGAGGTTTGGTGGAAATGGTTATCGCAGCATCAGTAAACAAGACACAGGGTGCTTATATAGTATAAGCAACTGCCATACTGGGAGCCAGTAACTCCTTGATGCAACTTTTGCTCTTTGAGATCATATGAGCTATACAGAGTAGTATTTTCAGATCTATGAGACATTTGAGTGCTGTTTACTTGCATGTCATCATCTATAATTTACCTTATAATTTGCTTTAAGTTGTAAAAAGCAGGTAAGTAGTTTAAGGAAGAATGGTGTGAATTGGCACACTGTGGCCTCGTGCTTGCCCTTTGGTTTTGTCTGATACTATCTAATTTTTGCAGTTAAAGGGTCTTGCTGAATGTAATAAGACCAAATGGAGCCAAGACCCCATTGATCAATATAGAAAGTATGCAGTAATACAGAGGGACTAAGGAATGCATTGTGGATTACAAGTTTGGAAGCAAAGAAGCAAATCACGTTAAAATTACTTGCATTCCATGAAATATCGAATGTAGATTATGTAGTCTAAACTCTAGACAAATATGAATTTGTCTCTTTTAGTTGGTGCACTAAAAAAAAAATATGTATCAAACATACTTACCATAAAGTAATGACTTGTTGCTACACACTCGCATCTTTGTTTGGAAGTAAAGCAAGATTGCTAGGCTTTTCAAAAGAATAAGTAGGTTTACAGATTAGTAGTGAATTAGGAAGGGTCTACATTACATGTAATAATGCACAATTCCATAGCTTTATGCTAGCATAACACTTCTGGAGAACCCACATGGTTTCATCTAACAGTCTGTCATTGTGTGCAGCTTTTAGTGGGGGGATTCAGCTGCTAAGGTTAAAATATACAAGGTTAGGTCTTGATTTGGCTTTGCAAAAGAAAAAATTAAAAGGAGGCTGGAATTTAGGATAGCATTTTGGCCTGAGCTCATGTCACTGTCACCCTTGCAAATGAGTTTCATAATGCCCTCTTCTCTCCCCTCACTGTGGGGGGCGTTGATCTGTCCCTCCATAAATCCCCCCTCCCCCCCCCCCTTCCCCCCCCCCCCCAATGTCCAGCTGATCTTTAACTGTGCTATGAAAACTCACATGTTTTTAATGGGATTAGTCTCCTCTAAAAACAAGCCTTTTAGAGTCAAATCTTTGGCATTTTGTAAAAGCAAATGGCTCTGCAAACTATGTAAATGCAGTAGACTTGGAACCCACTACTACCTCCTTGTTAAACTTCAGCTATATTTTCTCAAAGTGAAGATCCTTTCATTACAGTTGCATCATGGCACCATCCAACTTTTTGAACTACCACCTAGTGTAAGCTGCTCTGGTAATAACCTGGACATGTTGTACTTGTGTGTACTTGCAGGCTTTTATAGAAATGAACACAGAGGAAGCAGCCAACACCATGGTAAATTACTATACTACGGTCACTCCAGTCCTTCGAAGCCAGCCCATCTACATTCAGTTCTCCAACCACAAGGAGCTCAAAACGGACAACTCTCCAAACCAAGCAGTTAGTCATTATTCTTTACATTGTCACATTTAATACAACTGCCTAGATATTTCATTAGTTATTACTTGGTTTCAGTTTTGGTGCTAGTGGCCTGCTAGTCTTGTAACTGAAAGGCTTCAAAGGGTTAAATTTATGCTCTGTTTTATGTTGCACTTTTATATGAAATGGGAATTGAAAATTACACTGATCTTGGGCTGCCTGACAGCAGTCCGTCTAAATAACTGCCAAAGCACTACTTATGCTTTGTCTACTAACATGCTAATATAGCCTCTTGTCTAGCCTAAGATCTAAAGGTGCCAATTGGGAGCACGTGACAGCTTCCATGGCATGAGAACTTAAGAATTTAATTACTTCCAGTCCTGTTAGTACACAGAGAATTGGGCCTTAATCGCATGGTTCTGATCTTGCTCTTCCTTCCTTTGGTCGTAACTTTTGGTTCTTATCTAAACCAGTAGAACTAAAGCATATACTATTGAAAAGCTTAGAGATGCGGCTCTCAAGTAAGTAATACTTTTCACTAGAACCTCAAGCAGGCCAGCAGAGATGACCTACTCTATCAGCTGAAGTAGCAGGGGGTATGGTATAAAGTGAATATTAATTGGAACCCTAACTTTTTTTAGGTTGAGAACTAGTGATTGCACTTTAAATCCCCAGATAAAATTGGAGCCAAAGACCCTATTACATCTCCAGAAAAAATACCCAAAGACCTTGAGTAAGCTTTAACTTTCTGTGGGTATGGAAAAGATACTTTATAACCAGCCATATGTTTTGAGACTTTGAACAGAAGAAACTTAACCACTCTGAGGAGGAAATAGTACTGTTTACATCAGAGTGCAGTATGTTAGCAGCAGTATTCACCTTTTGATGCAGGGTAGACATCACTTATTTTGAATGCTCAAATTCAGTATTTCTGTTCGAGTCTTACTTTGCGAAGAGTCCATTTCTTTCCACACCTTCCCTTTTTTGGCAGACTGCTCTCCCTTCAGAATGCACTTGTCTCAACTAATGTCAGTGACTTTAGGTTAACTGTACCTGCTTATCAGGCCTAATGCATTTTTACCTCCTCTCATTTTTGCAATCCAGGTTTTCATCGGGAGCGTACCCTTTAATAATCCGCAAATCGATTGCTGGTACTTGGCGTACATGACAAAACAGGGGTTTGACACAATAATAGTGAGCATGTTCTGATATTAGTCCAGTTCTATCAATAGGGTTAAAAAAAATCTATGAAAAGGGGGTAGGCTCTACTATCCCTTTTATGGACTATTTTTTTTAAGTATTAAATTTAAAAATAGTAAGCCCTAAACCAGTTAATGCTTCTGTTTTGTCAGGTTCTGTAGCTTATCAAAAGTTCAGGATTTTGTTAGTCCTAAGGTGCCAGTATTTGCCATACTTTCAAACAGAGCACTTGAAAGTACCATAATAGACGTCTTGATTCTGACATAATTCAGCAGCCTGTCCTTGGGGACTGGGTGTGTTGTTGCACGTAGGTAGAGGTCTTTATTCCCATAGGAAAGTTCTCTTCTCTCTCCATGTTGTATTGTAGCCTTCCTTGCCATCCTGATCTCTGCATTTCCAGTATAACAGTAACAATTATAGTTTATAACTGTATAAATACCACTTGTTTTGCACAGGCACAAGTAATATTTCTAATGATCCACACTGCATCTAGGGTGTGGTGCTTAGTCTTTCTTGATGCTTTATCAAACCTTGCACTAGCAAATGTTGAATAAGATTGTAGTTAAGACTGAAAAGAGAGCAGTAACTGAAACACAGCAAGCGTAAACTCTAGCTGTCTTTCCATTTAAGCAATTCACATTTTGCATGTACGTTTGCAGTTTGTGGATTTTTATGTTGCAGTGCTTTTATTGGCTCAGCAGTGTGCAAGTATTGTCAAACTTTATAACATACTATTACGTTAACATGCTGTGTGTAAGGAAACTAAACTTGTGACTGATTTCTAGTCCGCAATTCTGCTGTTCTTATAGTAGTGTGCACGTAGGAAGCTTGGTAAACTTGTACTTCTGTCAGCAAGAGACTTAACCTAACATGATGTTTGGTTCCACAGCGTGCCCAGGCAGCTCTGCAAGCAGTGAACTCTGTCCAGTCTGGAAACCTGGCACTTTCGGCCTCTGCTGCAGCAGTGGATGCAGGAATGGCAATGGCTGGTCAGAGTCCTGTCTTGAGGATCATTGTGGAAAACCTCTTCTATCCTGTCACTCTGGATGTCCTGCATCAGGTAAAATGGGGTGTCTAACTGCCCCTTGCAGAACAGCATGGAAGAAGTGACTGCTGTAATTTATATGGGGTAGTGCTGCTCTGTCCAAGCCCCATTTGGAATTCATCATTTTTGAGGAGGGGGGTTATCTTTTTGTCCCAGCTTAAGGTCAGTGTCTCTGTTTGCACCTGAAGAGTACGTGTGAAGTTAAAGGTATAGGAATTATAGGCCAAGGGTATACAGGGTTGTGTTAACAAGAGTGTTACTTGCAAATCAAAGGAATATAATTCTGTCATCCTATTCAGCACTGGTGAGGCCTCATCGGGAATTCTCTGCCCAACTTTGGGCCCCACA